GGAGGGGTGGAAGATCGGCAGTTCGATGACAACAGTTGGAAGGATTTGGATGTGGACAAGCCGGCCAAGAAACGAACCGAACAGTTTTCTAAGGATGACTGGACTCCTGATCGGGATGGCTCCGATGACGATGGAGAAGACTTGGACGTGGAGAAACCAACCAAGAAACCAACCAAACAGCATGACGAACATCGTGAGGATGGCTCCGATGATAGTGACTCAGACTCCGATAATGGTCAAGAGAGGCCAAAGCAGGATACTCTGACCGAGCCCACAGTGAAACCTAGCAGGGTCAACCCGACCTTGGAAGAGGATAGAGACTCGGGATCAGATTTGGGCTCAGACGATGCTACGATCACTGTAGATACCAGCCCCGAGCTTCAGCCTCGGTACAACGACACCCGGGCTCTCTCCCATGAAGTACCATCAGACACTGAGGTCTTGGCTGATGATACATTTTGGGAAGCTGACCTGGGCTGTGGGGTGGAGTCGGCCGATCGAGCGAAGAAGAGAAAATTCACTGATGAGGAGGATACACCCTGCAAGTTTCCTCAGTTAGAGAAGGGTTACAAACTTGGCCCGAGGAGTGCCCGACCAGGCAAAGTCAAATGCCGAGCTGCCTCGGCTGTTATCCAAGCCACTGTCAAACCAGCTCAAGCAACCAATCTGAGGTCGGACACAACCAAAGCTTCGAATAGCTTTGATTTCACTAAGTCAAGTGGTGTCAACGCAAAACGACCAGTCCCTTCAAAACAAAAGGAGTCAGAGGCCGGTCCCAGTCGGCAACCATCTATTGATGTCCCCACCAAGCCAAAACCAAAACCTCATCCTATCATTAAAGGCAAGGTTTCTACAGGGGAACTCGGTATAGTAACCCGAGAACGGTCGAAAAAGATTGCTGAAGAAAGTGTTCGTTCCACCTGGTCCAAGAAAGTTTCATTCGTCAGTTAAACCTATCATGTTTAATGATGTTAGTCATTCATGCCCGGGTGCGAAATACATAGCATGTTCAATGATGTTAGTCTGTGTCCGGTTTCAGCAGTGTCACTTTTCGTAGTTCATCATGTTTTCCTATCATGAAAGGCAAGGGTTGAAAAGGTGTTCGTTTGACTAATTGAGCCGGGAGGCTTGTCTTATGACCAATTAAATGTGAGCACTATCCGGCAGCGGGTATCTTCAACCGTGCCCGGGTGTAAACTACATAGCGAACCAACCTCGGTCTTGTGATCTAATCTTCTACTTAAACCCTGGTCCATCCCTTTTGTCCCTCCCCTTCCCCTTGTCTGGGATCTCGTCTGGGATGAATGGCCGTAGTCCTTCTAAAGTAGCGTCCATTGCTGCAACCAGATCACGGTCTGAATCGATTTGTTCACGCAACCGGTCCTTCTCCCTCCTCAAGGTGGCCAAAACATACCGATAATGGCTCGTTGTCGCTATGCTGTCAGGCAGGGATCTGAGCACCTCCTGGTGAATTTCGCTATGACGAACCAGGTCCATACGATCCATCTTGGTAAACTCATCTCCCCTCGTCAACAATTTATCAAAGGCGGCCTGCAAATTCCTAATCGAAGGGTCGGATGAAGCCTCGGGGTCCATAGCTCTTTCCCACACTTTGCCAATTGCCTGAACGACCTCGGCTACCACG